TTAGTAACGAAGTGTGTATTAACTTCAAACCCTTTTTAAGTCTGTAGATTGCTTCTTACATGATTTTGCAAGTAAATCAGAGAACAAATATAAGGCAGCATATATATACTTCACGGACTGTAAGTATCTTTTTTTATGAATTATTGCTTTAAAGTTTAAAGTCCTATTCATTTGAAAGTATCTGCTTTTTATAGTACTGTTTAAGTACTGGTGGTTTTTCTGTTTATCATTTGTTATTAGGCTAGAGCCTAAAAAATACAAGTTTCTCTTTTGATTCATGTTTTGGTTAAAAAACATAAAGAAGCAGGACACCTGTGGCTCATACCTATCACCTTAGCTCCTCAGGAGGCTGAGATGAGGAGGATTGTGGTTTGAGACGATCCTGAAAGAAAAGTTCATGAGACCTTATCTTAATAGAAAAAGCTGTGTGTGGTGGCATACTCATGCCATCCATGCTATAACTAGAAGCATAAATAGAAAGGCTATTCTGAGAAAAAAATAACTAAGGCAAAAAGTGCTTAAGACATGGTTCAAATGGTAGAGTGCTTCCCTAGCAGTACTACCAAAAAGACCTTGGGGAAAGCATTGAGTAAAACAGCCATCAGTTTGGTATATATTAACAGAGAAAAATGTCATTTATTAATTCCTAGACTTTATCAGAGATTCCTTAGTTTAAATATTTTCCCTGTATCTAATGCCTAGTAGTAGTGTGCATTTTATTACAAAATCAGGTTGTATTGGTTACTTAAGTAATCTTACTATACAGAACTTCATGCTTATGGAATCGATAAAATTTAATGAATGTGAAACCTCTTCTAAATTAAGTAAACTTTTTTAAAAAAATCACTAGGATTTGAACTCAGGGTTTGAACCTTGAGTTTACTAAGCAGGTACTCTACCAATTGAGTCACACCTCCAGCCCAGGAATAATTTTTATGGTGCTGAGATTGAAGCTGGGGCCATATGCATGTTGAGTAAGTGCTGTACCACTGAGTTACATCCTCTTTGTTTGTTTGTTTGATTGGTTGATTTGTTTTTTTTTTTGTTGTGGTGGTTGGTTGATATAGGGTCATAGTATGTAGCTCAGGTGAGCCTTGAACTCAAAATCCTCCTGCCTCCATCTCCTGAATGCAGGGGTTATTACATGCACAACCACACTGAGTTAAATTAAGAAATCTTAGGGCTACAGAACATCATGTTGAAAGAGAATAGGAACCAATGAATGAAATCCATTATCAACCTTAACATTTAAGAGTTGATATTCCAATCAAGATTTAATAACACCATAAACATGTAGGTGAAAGAAGAGAAATCATGACCTCTAAATTCTAGAACTTTCTAGTTCTAGGAAACTTGAATTAGAAAAATTTCCTTTCAAGCATTTAGTTTTAGCAGATCTCTAATGAACTAGCTTTACAGGAAATGTGAATGGAGAAAATGAAATTATCACAGCCCTTTTGACCCGAATATCTGTAAAGTAAGAACAATTTATGTTATCTTTATTCTCATAGTGTACTACTGTGTGGAAGGCAGTGATTAAATATAAAAATAGTCTTGAATAATGGATTGAGATGAAGATTGAATGAATAAAAATTGAGATGCAGTTATATGCCTTGATTTTTTTTCTTTCAGTTTGTCCTGATAGTCTCTTTAACAAAATTAAAGCATCTTGCTCGAAGTCAATAAGAAGATGTAAAGAAATAAATATTTCTTTCATTCCACATGAATCTCAGGTACTTTCTATTTTTAATTTTAGTTCTCAATGGATTTTCATATTTGATTTTACAAGTTTTATTACCTATTTGATGAATTTTTTTTACCTTATCTACAAATAAATGTCCCCTATAGTGAAGAGAGAAACATAAGCAATGAAATTGGAATGCATTATTAATTATGAAAAGAGGAGCTTAAGTTTCTTATCTGCTACCAAGTCCTAGGTATATAAGATTTCAGCACTACTAGAGTATGGAATCAAGAAATTTGTTTTTGTCTTTATTGGTCATGGGGCTTGAACTGTGGGCCTGGGTGCTGTCCCTGATCTCTTCAGCTCAAGGTGAGCCCTCTACTACTTGAACCACAGCGCCACTTTAGGTATTCAGGTGGTTTATTGGAGATAAGAGTCTCACGAATGTTCCTGCCCTGGCTGATTTTGAACGGTGATCCTCAGATCTTAGCCTCCTGAGTAGCTAGGATTACAGGCGTGAGCCACTGGTGCCCAGCAAGAAATGTTTTAATATCAACTTTGTTGGGTGATACAAAAAATAGTTCATTTAGCTATTTCAGGGATATAATAAACTTAATTTAACATTAAGTCATAATTTATAAAACTTTTGTCTAACAGCTTTTAATTAATAATAGTACTTTGTATTAGGTATTTTATTGGATGCTTTACATAAATTAGTAATTTAACCATTGCATCATCACTGTTTCCAGTAGAAGGATAAGAAAACACACAGGTTAAATAACTTACCCCAAAACCCATAGCTAATGAATCTTTAGATTTGTGGTGCTCTGTTCTCTGCGCTTGGATTGTAGCATTTTATAGAATTTAAATAATTCAGTGTTATTTGGTACTCTAACTATATAGGGGATAGAAAAATCCTAGGTAAGGGAATTCTCTTTTAAGCTTTGCTGTTTTTGACAGAGACTATAATCTAAATCATAAAATTTTAAATTATCTGCTTAACTGTTTTCCAAAAGTTATCTGTAAAGGTAATCCTTTAACACTGTGTAGAAAAATCTCTAAAATCTCCTCTTATTACAAGAACAGCCCTTTTGAACAAAGAACAAAGGTTTATTTCTCATTCATGTTTTACATTGTTGAGGCTAAAGAACAAGTAGTCTGGGACATAACAGGGGGAAAAGAGAAAATGTGGCCATGCAATGGTTCTTTTGTTTTAATTTTGGTAGGGTTTTGTTTTGTAGTTTGTCTTTGTTTTTCTGTGGAAGGGAAGAAGGAAAGTGTGATGCTGGGGATTATAGCCACAAGGCCTTGTACATGCCAGGGAAGCGTTGTATCCCTTCTTACATAATGGTTTGTTTTTGTTTTTGTCGGTTGTGGAGCTTGAACTCTGGGCCTGGGCACTGTCCCTCAGCAGTTCAGCTCAAGGCAAGCACTCTACCACTTGAGCCACAGCACCACTTACAGTTTTCTGGTGATTTATTGGAGATAAGAGTTTCATGGCTTTTCCTGTGGGGGTTGGGGGCTTTGAACTGTGATCCTCAAATCTCAATCTCCTGAGTAGCTAGGATTACAGGCCTGAGCCACGAGTGCCCAGATTACATAATAGTTTTTTTTTTGGTCCAGACGTGGGGCCTGAACTCTGGGCTTGGGCGCTGTCCCTCAGCTCTTCAGCTCAAGGCTAGCGCTCTACCACTTGAGCCACAGTGCCACTTCTGGCTTTTTTTTCTTTTTGCTTATGTGGTGCTGAGGAATTGAACCCAGGGCCTCAGGCATGCAAGGCAAGCGCTCTACCACTGAGCTGCCTTCCCAGCCCCTACATAATAGTTTTTAAAGCTTGTTGTGTAATTGATATATGTCTCTTCTATTTATGTTCTATAGCTAAGTACAGTATAACATCAGTGGGAGGAAAATATACTCCCATAGGGACAGTAAGAGGGATAAGTATCTTTGAACAAATTATATTATTGGTAGGGATAGTATACTATGGTAAGGATACAGTGCTGGTAATACAGCAAAAAAACAGGATCTTTGAGTAGCAAAGATAACTAGATTGACCACAGCTAAATTATACTCTATATTAAGGCTGCTCTGTTGGTTATGATCAAATAAATGAATGACTTTGAGTAAAAGGAAATGTAAGGAAGTTTGTTCATGATTCATTACTTAGTTTATAATATTTATTACTTGCCTACTTTTATATCCAATATATTATTCTAGGTGAAGAGGGCTTCCTATCACTTTTTTTTTCTTTCACTGACATGGAGTTTCATGGGCTTTTTTTTTTTCCACCACGGGCTGACCAGGAACAACAATCCTCCCAATTTCAGCCAGCGACATAGGTTAGGATAATAGTCATACACCACTGTGCTTAGATATGGGTTGAAAAGGAATTTCTCAAACTTTTCAGCCAAGACTGGTCTTGAACTATAATCCTCCCATTCTCAGCCTTCCAAGTAGCTAGGGTGAAGCTTTGAGTCACTAGCACTAGGCTCTACTGGGTTAGGATTTTTAATCTTTGACATACAGACCAACTTGGCTTTGTTGTAATTCTTTCTGCCAACTATAAGGTTTTTATTTTGGTTTCACTACCTCAGATTCCTTCATCTGTTGCATTGGTAGTAAAAAGTAAATAGTACAATCTATATTTGAGGGAGACTAAACAGGGAAGACATGGGAGAAAAGAGATAAAGGATGAAATCAAGATGACAGAGAAAACAAGATTTCATTAAGGTAAAGATGCAGTTGTTCCAGGAAACAGCATTAGTAATATTTTTTCTTTCTTTTCTTTTTATTTATTTTTATTTATTTTTTATTTTTTTTTAATTTTATTATGAAAATACTGTACAGAGGGGTTATAATTACATGGGCAAGATAATGAGTATATTTCTTATCAAGCATTGTAGACTCCTCCTTTGTTTCCCCTTCCCATCCCTTCCCAGCCTTCCCCCCAACCCCCGTATTTTTTCTTTAATGTCTCGTAATACCATTTTCTTGATGTATTTTTGAAATGAAGTCTCCTGATTGACAATATCAACTTCTTTTGGCCTAACCTAGGTATATACTCTTGATGTACCCGATGCATTCTATTACTGTTATAGTCCAGACTCTGCTAATGCCAATGGAAAAGATGCCATTATGGAAGCAATGGCTGAGCATATTGTTACCGTATGTGCCACTTTGGATGAAAATCCTGGAGTAAGATATAAAAGGTAAGGCACAATATGATCTGTAGATATTATGCTTTCTATTGAAATCTAATCAAAGTTAAGCGATATCTTTATGCTTTCTGTACTGGTGTGCAAAACTATATTTTCTTTGTACCATTACCAAGTTCTACATATGGCTGATTTAAAGTTAAAGGTTTAAATTTCAGATTACCTAATAGCTTCTGTTAACTGAATTTCAGAGCTCAAGTTTAGTACCATTTAGAGACAGTTTTTCATCAGTTTGAGGCATGCTTAGAGGAATGTTTTTACTGTCATAAAAGAAATACAGCCAGGCTGGGAATGTGGCTTAGTGGTAGGGTGCTTGCCTAGCATATATGAAGCCCTGGGTTTGATTCCTCAGTACATAAACATAAAAAGCCAGAAGTTATGCTGTGGCTCAAGTGTTAGAGTGCTAGACTTGAGCAAAAAAGAAGCTCAGGGGCAGTGCTCAGGCCCTAAGTTCAAGCCGAAGAACTGGCAAAAAAAGAAAAGAAAAGAAATACAGCCTTACATTTAATGTTTTATCATTTTCACAAATTTAAATGGCCGTACTTACTGTAGACTTTTCATAAAGTCTCCGTTTCTTGAGTATATTTAATCACAGTGGCCATTCTAAATTAAGAGATAAAGTTGATCTCTTATGCTACATACATCTGTTTATTTGTTGCTTTTTAAAAATGCTTAAAGTACACTAATTTTATACATGGTTTTATATACTTCATTCCAAAATGACTGTACCCTACCCTCTTAACCCCTCTAAGATAAAAGAAAATAATAATAATTAATATTAATAATCTTAGATCATTAGAGGGCTAATGAACCCTCCCAGAAACTATTTCTTTTACTATCAGGGATAACTGTTGTCCAATTTCTAACATACAGTTTAGTTTTGCCTGATTTTGAACTGGTATACATGTAATTCTGTGATTGATTTATTGATTTTGTTCTTTACTCAATGTTAGTTTCTGAGAGACATTCATGTTGTGTGTTAACAGTTTGGGCTTTTTCTGGAGCTTGCTTGGTATCTGACTCTTCTGGCCTTCGTTGCCTTATCTGTGAAATGGTAACAATCAGAATGCCTCTGTCATAGAGTTGTTAGAATTAAATGAATTTAGTATCTGTAAAGCACTAAAAAAAACACATGGAGCTAATAAAAATGGTAGTAAGTATATGACACCACTCAAGGAATAAGTGGTATTACTGATTTTTCTTTGAGAAAATTTTTTAATCTGAACATTGGCATTTGTTAAGTTATAAACTATAAATTGACTGAATTATTTACATTTTATTACTCTCAATGTAAAAAAATTTTAAATCAACTATCAATTACTTAGAAAAAAATAGTAAATCTCCTTAATTTAAGTAGGTATTACAAAATAATCTCTTTACCTTGGGAATTAAAAACATTCTTCTTATAAGCAGTGTGCTAATTACATGCTGAACACAGTGCAGCCAAGCTAAGTGGTTTGTCTCTTGTAAGAGTTTCTGCTGTTAGTAGTTGACTATGCTCAGAAAGAGTAAAAGCCAATTAATACGTATTAATTAATATTTATATATTAATGTATTATATATAGTTTATAGGTCTCTTAGGGATATGCTCTGAGTTACTCAAATAATCTTGGCTAAAAACATTTGCTTGTTCTTTCACAAAATAGTTCTTTGTAAACTGGGCGATGGTTGCTTACTGCTGTAAACTTAGCTACTTAGGATGTTGATCTGAGAACAGCAATTTGAAGCCACCTCAGACTGGAAAGTTTATGAGACTAAAGTCCACTAACCTACAAAAAAAGCTTTAAGCAGATCTATGGCTCAAGTGGTAGAGCACTAACATTAAGCAAAGGAAGCTAAGGAACACCCAGGTTCAAACTCCAGAATTTTTTTAGAAAAAAGTTCTTTCTGTTTTATAGACTTTTAAAGTATAATGAATTTCCTTTTGAACATGTTTTTAGAAAATGTACAGTAAATCACTCATTAGATGTACTGCTTTTTTTTTTCTTCTTTTCAGTCAGTCCCAGTCAGACCTGGGAGTTGTCCCTGAGCTTTTTCTGCTCAAGGCTAGAGCTATGCCACAGTTCTACTTTTTGGTGGTTAATAAGAGATTTGGTGGTTAGAGACTTTCCTGCCCCAAATGGCTTCAAACTTCAATCCTCCAGATCTCAGCCTCTGAGTAGCTAATATAGGCATGAACCACCAGAGCTTGGCACCACTTTATTTTTAAAGTATGAAATTATTCAATACTTTATTTACATCCCTCAAACTGAAACACATTCCATCCCACCCCCACTTTAAGGCTAACGTACTAGTTGAACAGTCTATTCTAACATTTTTTCCTGTAGATTTGGAAAATATATTAATGCTAGTGGTCATGAAGTTAATTTAAAGTATGGTGTTATCATATTAGAAGACAGAAGCATGCAAGATTTTAAGCAAATGAATATATTGGAAAATTGACTAAATGTTAGAGAACATAGGAGGAAAATATCACACTGATAGTGGGAGGGATAACTGGTCAATTAATTTGAAGAATAATTTGCTGTTATCTAGAAAAGTTGAAAATATAGATCCTCTATGATCCATCAATTGCACTTTTATGTGTAATATACCTGGAGAAACATGTACCTGAAGAAATAAATGCAAGCATATTGGTCTTAATGTTGTCCATAAAAATATAAAATTGAGAATGACCAAAATGTGTAAAATAATATTACATTGAGGATGCCCTAAATAGTGTAAAAAGGAGAATAACCTAGTGTTTAGGGTACTTAATGTACAGAAATCAGTGTAAATTATATGGTGGAATACTATATAGAAGATAATAAACATGGCAACAGAGATGGATCACACATACACACATGTACATGCACACATTACTGAAATAATACATTTGAAATTTCATGGTAATGGTTGCCTTGAAGTAGGGTATTGGAGGAAGGCTGGGGAGAGGACCCGGATTTGATGGGGGAAGGGTGAATAACTCTTAAATATGTAATATTTTATTTCTTTTATTTAAAAAGAATGTAATATACATGGATAAAGTTTACAGTTGTAATTCCAGGTATAGTAAGAATATTGTATTTGGTATTATTTCAACTTTTCCATTTTTGCAACTTTCTCATTTTATGAGTATTTTATAAATAAATTGCATGATATTGTAAAATGTCTCCTGAAAGAGAGATAAATGAACATTTTCTTAAATTTTTAGTAAACCTCTAGATAATGCCTGTAAACTTGCACAACTGGTTGAAAAAAAACTTGAAGACTATTACAAAATTGATGAAAAGAGCCTAATAAAGGTAATGAATAAAAGACATTGTATATATTGTTTCTTTCTAAGCCAAATAACTTATTTGTTCCTTTTCTAGTATTGATTTGGGAATCATTAGCATAGACAGTAGTGTAAATGTTAATAGGCAGAGTGGTTTTGAGAGGAAGATAAAGGCTTTGAAATCAGCACTGTGTTCACATCCTCACTCTTCCATTTAATTCGTGTTATTTTAATTAGGGCTAATTCTATAATTTTCTATACTTAAATGATCATTTCTATAAGATTCACCTAAGAGAATTTTTTTAAGTTAGAGGATTAATTAAATTAGTATGTATAGTCTTCAGTATAATGCCTGCCACTGAGTTAATATTTAATAAATGTAGGGGTTCCTGCTTTTACCATGACCTCGAGTTGTTTTTCTTTATTTGTAAAATGGCTGAGATAGTAAGAACCTTGCTTCTATAGTATGAAGACTGAATTAGTATGTATTTGGAACACTTATAGGAGTTTAATAATAAATAGCAACTGTTACCATCTTATCAAAATTAATGTAGTCAGAGACTTAAGATTGGAATCAGCATGTAGGTGTAGTAAAGAGATTGACAGAGATGCATTCAAAGGGCTGGGAATGTAAAGAATTAAAAGAAGGAACTATCCATTGTGTAGACAAGGAGTTGGCCCAGGAAACAACCACTTGCTGGGTTATGTAATAAGAAAACTAGAAAGGAATATAAACAATACAATGGAAAGATAAGCTGCAACTCAAGTTCCAATAAATAACTGGCATCTTGGAAGGCATCCAAGAGGAAGAGGCTCTAGCACTTTAAAAATGAATATAACATAATAAAAGGAAGTTTATTGAATGGATTATAGTATCCTTCGGGTACAGGCATAGAACAAAAGGTAAAATTCATAATTAAATAGTCTGGTTGGAATGGAAGATATAAGTTTAGATTTTATGTTAGTTCCTTTAAATGTTAATCAAGTCAGGTGCTGGTGGCTCACACCAGTAATCATAGCTACTTAGGAAGCTGAGATCTGAGCTTTGAAGCCAGCTGGTGCAGGTAAGTCCATGAGACTCTGTCTTCAGTTAATCAGCAAAAGGCTAGAAATGGAGCTATTGCTCAAGTGGTAGAATGCTAACCTTGAGCAGAAAAAACTAAGGGATAATGAGTTCAAGCCCCAGCACTGGTACACTGGTTTGGAGGTGTCATAAAAACTGTTATTCTAGGGGCTGGGAAGGTAGCTCAGTGGTAGAGCGCTTGCCTTGCATGCATGAGGCCCTGGGTTCTATTCCTCAGCACCACTTAAGCAAAAAAAAAAAAAAGCTGGAAGTGGTGCTGTGGCTCAAGTGGTTGAGCACTAGCCTTGCGCTGAAGAGCTGAGGGACAGTGCCCAGGCCCAGAGTTCAGGCCCCACGACTGGACCCAAAAAAACAAAAACAAAAAAACCCTGTTATTCTACTTATGAAGATAAAATAGCTTAGTATACATAGTGGATAGTAAATAGAATGTTTATTTAATGAAAGAAAAGCTATACATTCACTTTAGTTCTTCATGATTTCAATGGACAAAGGGCAAAATGCACAAAAGATAAATTTATCCTTTACATTTTTTCTTCTTTAGAAATTGTACATCCTGAAAATTCTTGATACCTAGTTCTTCCTGATAAAAGTCTCAGTTTCTTTTTGAAGTATTTTCTGATCTGAAGAGTCAGAAAATATACTTCCTCACCTTTGCTGTCCTAAGCAACCCCTGATAAAGAACTTAGGTTGACTTTTTCTTAGGCATATTTTTGAACATATAGCTTATAGCTCAAATACTAATTGTCAAGCACTATGCTAAAAGTTATTTCATGGTATTACTACATTTCATCTTTATAACAATCTTATAAGACTGTGGTTATACTATTTTGCAAAGAGAATACTCATATGTAACAGGTTGGAAAATTGATCCAACGTGTACAGCAATGATGAAATCAAGGATTAACTCAAAACAGAAATCTGATTCCAAAACCTGTGCACCTAACCACTGCACCATACTGTCATGAATTTCATTAGGAAAGTAAAGAGTAAACATACTTTAAAAATCTATCTTGTGTAGTTTACCTCTGTCTCCTATATGTAGACAAATGAGAAATATTTATCTAATGTGTTTTAGTTAAACTCTTATTGCTTTGAATAACAAGCTGAAGATTACTCTTGCTAGGTACCACAGTGGCTCACACCTGTAATTGTATCTACTCAGGAAACTGAGATCTGAGAATCATGGGCAGAAAAGTCCATGAGACTTTTATCTCCAATTAATACCAAAAAGCTGGAAGTGGAGCTGTGGCTCAAGTGGTAGAGTTCTAGCCTTGAACAAAACAGCTCAGGACAGTGCCCAGGTCTTGAGTTCACGCCTCAGGACCTGCACAAAAATAAATAAGTGCAGTAGCCTAATGGCTAAAAGTGTAGCATTACAGTGAATCCAACATGGGTTTGAAATTCCATTCTGCCATGTATTAATTATATGGCTCAGGCAAATTACTTAATTTCAAGTTTAAGTCTCTTGTTTGTCAATGGAGGTAATAATACCTGTCTCACAAGGTTGCTGTAAGAACCATGAAATAATACTTAAATTAGATGAAAAAATACTTGTATTTCTTGCTTAGCAAAATGTCTAACAAAAAGAGCTCATGTAGTAGATAGCTTCCATTTATAATTTGTGTTTTAGTGTTTATGAAACTGAATTTATAATAAAATAAGTTAGGCCAGACAAGGTAAGTTGTATATACCTGTAATCCCCACCCTTGGAATATTGAATCTGGAAGATCTTACATTCAGGGCTAGTCAGGACCACATACCTAGCAAGACCCTATCCAAAAGGAAGAGAGAAAAAGTGATGGAGATGGGGATAGGGATGGGGGAGAGAAAAGAGAAGGGAATACGGGAAGGGAAGGGGAGGAGAGGAGAGAGGAAGGAAAACAATACAAGTGTTACTGTTTTAAAAGAAAATTTGAGAAAGTTACTCAGTATAGCCTTTTAATCCAATTTTGAAAGTTAAATTTTGTCATTTTAGTGTTTCTTCCTACTGTGCCACTCAGATTTTTATTTGTTTTAATTCAGTTTACATTCTTAAGGAAATTAAGCATTTGTTTTCTTTCATTGTATGTTTTTTGGTGGGCAAAAGAACCAGGACTTAACAAAAGTCTGCTTCTGTTTTCTAAGATATTAAAAATGTAAAAATATGGAAATTGCTTAAGATAATTTCATTTTGTTATTCTAGGGTAAAACTCATTCCCAGCTCTTAATCATTGATCGTGGCTTTGATCCTGTGTCCACTGTCCTGCATGAACTGACCTTTCAGGCAATGGCATATGATCTACTACCAATTGAGAATGATACATACAAGCAAGTATAAATTGAAGGGCATATAAAGGGCATATACAAACAGAATAGACTTAAGCATTTAATAACCTATAGAGGCATCAGACATCTGAACCGCCATAATCTTTTGTACAGAGAGAGACCTTATTCTTTCAGCCTTAACAATCTTTTAAAACTTTGTGAGTTAATGGGCAATTTCACTGCTTTGCAACTTTTTGAGTATTTGTGTGCCTCCTTAACTAGTGGACCTACATTTAAACAGACAGAATTTGCATCTTTCACCTAAATTTTGAGTAAGCACCAGGCCCAGTTTTTTATTTGTTAAATAGACACCCTATTCAAAATGATTAGTAGTATGTGTAAGATAGTATAATGTAATGTATTTTTAAACGTAGTAGAAAATGAAGTCGTGTGGATATTTGAGAATAGGTACAATTTTACCATTTTGCTACTTAGTGTCTGTCTCTATATTTATATGAAACTATTTACTTTTAAAAAATACCAAAAGTAAATGAAATTACTTTCTATCAAGGAGCCATTTTACTTACTATCTTATCATTATGAGCAGGCCTATGGACACATTAATTATACAGTCTTAGTTATCACCAATCTCCAAAACTAAGTTGACATTTTTCAGCCAAGATTTGCTACTTTAAGCCAGAAATGTTAACACATGTTTATGCTCCCTGGGGAGTTAAAGCAGGAGAATCACAAGTTCTAGGCTAGCCTCCATAACAGTTCTACAAAGCAAATTTCAGGCCAGCCTAGTCTAGTGAGACCCTATTGCAAAAGAAATGCTATTTGAATACAATATAAAAATTAAAATTCATTTTCTGACTTTTTTGTTTAATAGTTTTCTTTTAAAGATAAAACTTTTGGTAATTATGTCTAACTTTTCTAAAAGTAGATATTACTTTAATATTTTCTGATCATTCATTTTTTCTATTGTATTTTTACTTGCATTCTAGTCAAATCCTAATTTCTGAGCTTTCCTGGGTTATCTGTTATTTTAACACAAGGAAAGTAACATAGCAGTTTTTCTCATAAAAGTTGTTTTAAGCAAGTTATTGCTTGTAGCTTTTATTTACCATATTTATCCTTTAGTCTATAAGTGTACATTGTCTTTTTTTTTTTTTTTTTTTTTTTGGGCTTGGGGCTTGAACTCTGGGCCCGAGCGCTGTCCCTCAGCTCTTCAGCTCAAGGCTAGCGCTCTACCACTTGAGCTATATAGGGCTACTTCTGGTTTTCTGGTGGTTTACTGGAGATAAGAGTTTCATGGATTTTCCTGCCTGGGCTGGCTTTGAACCGTAATCCTCAGATCTCAGCTCCAGAGTAGCTAGGATTACAGGCGTGAGCCAATGGCACCCGGCTGTGCATTGTCTTATAATAAAGACATTTAAAAATGACTTAATAACCAGGTGCTTGTGGTTCACACCTATAATCCTAGCTACTCAGGAGGCTAAGATTTGAGGATTGTGGCTTGAAGCCAGTCTGGGCAGGAAAGTCCATGAGACTCTTATCTCCAACTAATCACCAAAAGGCCAGAAGTGGAGCTGTGGCTCCAAACAGGAGAGTAATAACCTTGATCACAAAAGCTGAGGGACAGTACTCAGACCCTGAGTGCAAGCCCCACATTCACACGAAAATAAATAAATAAAATACACACCTACTGAGATTTGCTGGCAAACAAAAGAAGGTTTCATTTTACTGATTGATTGATTATACCGGGGATTGGACTCGAATCTCATGCTCTCAGCCTTTTCTGTTTATGCAGCTCTTTACTTACTAGAGCCATGCTGCCAGTTCAAGCTGAGATGACACATTACTGAAAATATATGTTACCTCTGTGTTATTAAATCCAATATCCCTTCTCACTACCTTCTAGCCCTCCATTCTCAGTATGAAAATATTCTAATGCTCAAGTTTTTAGGTCTTGTTCCTTGTTTTTTGGTGCCAGTCCTGGGATTTGAACTCAGGGCCTGGGCACTGTCCCTGAGCTCTTTTGCTCAAGGCTAGGACTCTACCACTTGAGCCATAGCTTCACTTCCAGCTTTTTGGTGGATAATTGGAGATAAGAATCTCACAAACTTACTTGCCTGGGCTGGCTTTGAATTGTGATTCTTACATCTCAGCCTCATGAGTAGCTAGGATAACAGGTATGAGTCACTGAAACCTGACATGGACCTTGTCCTTTTTTGTATAGTCTTACAGGCACATCCATTCTGTTTGTTGATGTTGCTGTTACATTGATATGCCAATTCTGAACCTTCCTGTTTCAAACCTAATAAGCATCTTACACTTTTTTTTTTTTTTTTTTTGCAGCCATGGGGCTTGCACTCTGGGCTTGGGCGCTGTCCCTCAGCTCTTCAGCTCAAAGCTAGAGCTCTACCACTTGAGCCACAGCATCACTTTCAGTTTTCTGGTGGTTTATTGGAGATAAGAGTCTCATGGACTTTCCTGCCTGGGCTGGCTTTGAACCATGATCCTCAGATGTCAGCTTCCTGAGTAGCTAGGATTACAGGCGTAAGCCACCAGCACCTGGCTAACATCTTAAACTTTTATGTCCAAACTTGTGCTCCTGATATTTTCCATCAGACTACTCCAACTATGGCCTCTTTTAGCTCAGTAACATAGCTCTAGTTTAGCTAGAGTTTACTAACGTTACATATCAATTTGTGGGTGTGTGTGCGCGCGCGTGTGCACACACATGCGTGCGTGTGCACATGCGCATGTGCACGCATGCATGGGCCAGTTCTGGAATTTAAAGTCAAGGCTTCTTACATTTTCTTTTTCCCTCAAGTCTGGTGTTCTACCACTTGAGTCACACTGTCACTTCTAGCTTTTTAATGTTAATTGGAAATAAAATAATCTCTCGGATTTGTTTGACTGGGATGCTTTGAATGTCACACTGTCACTTCTAGCTTTTTAATGTTAATTGGAAATAAAATAATCTCTTGGATTTGTTTGACTGGGATACTTTCTGAGTTGCTAGGAGTATAGATGTGAACTACCAGTACTGGGCAGGTCAAAAATTTTGATCATCATCTCTCATATCTTTTGGCCAATCAATCAAGTCCAAAAACTTGGGATTCAAAATCTATCTAGAAGCTAACATAGTCCCAGTCAATCAATTTTCATCTGGTTTTGGTAACACACTTTTCCCCCCTAGTATTGTACCGTGAACTCGGCTTGATGTTTGCTTCATTTGCTATTTGGCTACTGCTCTTTCACTTGATCCAAGCATCTAGCCTGCCTTTTTGGTTATATTTGGAGATAAGAGTCTCAAGAATTTTCTGCCCAAGCTAGCTTCCAACCTTGATTTTCAGATCTCAGCCTCCAGAGAGAAGCTAGGATTACAAGCATGGCCACCAGCATCTCACTGTAGCAAACCTGTATTTTTTTTTCTTCTTTTCTTTTTTGTCAGTCATGGGGCTTGAACTTAGGGCCTCAGCACTGTCCCTGAACTTTTTTGCTCAATGCTAGCAGTCTTTGGATCTCAACCTCCTGAGTAGCTAGGATTATGGATGTGAGCCACCAGCACCCAATTCCCTTTTTTGTTTGTGATAAGGTCTTGAGGTTTAACAGACCTCAAACTCACTGTATGCCCAACGCTGCCTTGAACTATTGTCCTTCCTCAAACTTTCCTTCCTCAGCCATGAATGCAACAGACTTCTAACTAATCTTCAATGCTTCTGCTTCTGTCTTTGGATCACTTTCAGTGTTCTTTCAACACAGCACAAAATAAATTCATTCATTTTTAAAAATAGAAAAAAATCAGAGTGACAATAGCTCATGCCTGAAATCCTACTACTCAGAAGGCTGACACCTAAGGATTGTGGTTTGAAGCCAACACAGGCACTCTTCTCTACAATTAACCACCCAAAAGCCAGAAATAGAAGTATAGCTCAAGTAATAGCACACTAGCCTTGAGCAAAAAAGCTCATAAACAGCACTCAGGTCCTGAATTCAAGCCCCTGGGCCTGCACAAAACAACAATAAAGAAGAAAAGAACCAAATGCTAGTGGCTCATGCCTGTAACCCTAGTTATTTGAAGAGGCAAGAATTAGGAGAATGTTAGGTCAAAGTTAGCCCAGTCAAAAAATTTTAGTCTCAAATCTCAACAGAAAATGTTGGATGTAGTAGTATGCACCTGACATCCCAGCTGTGGCAAGAAACATAAATAAAAGAATCTAGATCCAAGCTGCCCTGGGAAAAAAACAAGAACTTCTCTCAAAATTAAAAAAGGTAGGGTGAGGGCTGGGAAGGTGGCTCAGTGGTAGAGCGCTTGCCTTGCATGCCTGAGTCCCTCGGTTCAATTCCTGAGCACCACATAAGCAAAACGAAAAAAGCCGGAAGTGGAGCTGTGGCTCAAGTGGTAGAGCACTAGCCTTGAGCTGAAGAGCTGAGGGACAGTGCCCAGGCCCAGAGTTCAGGCCCCATGACTG